GTGCGTTTTAGCTTTGTCCTGATGAGAAGACCAAAATAATTTTCTTATAATTGCAGTCAAACGCTCAATCAGGTTTTTAGGAAGTAGAAAACAGGACATACAATAAGTATCATTTACCAATGCTTAGCAAGAATCTGTATGAGATCAATAATATTCTTTGAAAGAAATTTCCATTTTTTTTTGCACTTATTCAGTTGGACAAAGAGAATCTCAAGGTCGGATACATGGTTTACAGTAGGTTTTCCAGGAACCTTTTGTTATTCAACGTGTCTTTTGTCAGTATCCTACGCCGAATATGGTACTTTCATTCCCATTCTCGGACATAACCAAGGCCGGTCCTGATCTGGATCCACAAAACTATGATGCAGAAACTGTCCAGCTTCTTCGTCCATCAGCTCTCTTGCCCACGTTACCCGTGCAGATGAACAGCTACCTGGACCAAAGCACCTGCGGTTTTACATCAAAAAGTCGTATCAAAACTTAACCCTTTGTTTCTCGATTACAACTTTTAACAGTTAAGAGATCTCAGATGATATACCTGTACTCATAAAAGCAAGCGCTTCTTTCATTCTCTGGGTTTCCCCAATTATGCCAACCGACATGTCTGATACATGCATCCATGTAAGTGTATGCAAGGACCACCCTCCCAAATGGTCCCCATGGCCTTCCGAGATACATATACGCACTCTGGCCATTGCCTGTGATCACACATCTGCAACAAGTATGTAGAAGCTAAGTTTACTTTGAAGCTGTAACAGATGTTAAGTAATCCTTCTGAAGAGATATCTATTAAAAAAGAAGCTAACAGATGTTAAGTAATCCTTGTGAAGAGATATCTACAAAAAAAAAAAAGCAGACCTTAAGAATACATAACCAGTAGACTCCTGAGATGATTTTCGGCTTTGTGCAGTCATAAAACCCTGAGATTTGCAGTGGATATGGCAGTGTTCCAAGAGTGCTGTACTGTTTCCAAATATGAAATCCACGCTTCCCTCGACATAGCAGTCCTTCAAATATTGTTTCCCATGATGTAGGTACAATGTATCCTGTATTTCATGGTTTGCACTTTAGCTAGAAACAATTATACCAAGTTATAAAACTAATTGCAGGACAACTAGAGAATGGTGCTAACAAGAGTTTTCAACCAAGTCATCTAAGCCATTTGTGTGGTACGATACGAGTGAAAACAAACCACAAGAATACATTAAAGAGACCAAAACACGAAAAATTTATTGAGAAACACAAAGATTTGAAGTAATGTCAAGTAAAAAGACTTGTTGAAACGAAACGAACCTGCCAGCCGAGAAACCGACAATTATAAAAGGCACAACGGTCTGCAGTGACTCTTATCGCAACCGCTTGCCCTGATCCCTATATAGCAAGTAAAAGGGTAAAGAACATAACTATTATACAAATCAAAAACATTAGCAAGTATACTCCAAAATCAAGCTTAGTGATTCAGTAGTAAAGACAAGCCTACTTTAAGTATAGTATCAACATTACAGTCCTAAACCAGAACAACTTCTAAACCTGAGAGATTCTCAAAAGGAACATACTTTAAACATTATTACTACCTCAGGAGCAGAATTCTCAAAAGTGATGTTCTCTGCAATAAAATCTTCTCCTTCGACAATAACAGACCCACACCCAAATGTCCCCGTTCCGATGACTCTAGACGCCTGCAAAACCAAAACAATCAAACCAATCAGAGTTATAACTCAATCGGCCACAAACACCAAGAACAGAAAGTTGTTTCCCACAGAACCTGGTGATGGTCAATCTTGGTAGCCGTATTGTTCCAAGTGAGAATGGTGATTTCCGGGGAGATTCCGGCGAAGGTGATGAAGTTTTTCCTCTTGGGCACGTAAACGGGTTGGCGGTAAATCCCCGGCGAGAGACGGATTACAGTCCGACAAGTGTTTCCAAGAGGCACCGAGTCAATTGCGTCCTGAACGGAACAGTAATCGCCTGAACCATCTTGCGCAACCCTCACCAGTCGACTCGTCGTCGCCATACTCATACTTCACCAATCGATGCTTAAAAACCCTAGTAACAGTCTTTTAGAAATCGAAAGAGAAAATAAGAGATTTTGTGTGATGAGTTTGCGTCGATTTGTTTAGGTGAGAGAGGAAATGGTTTAACACGGTTTGGAGGTGTCGCATTGTTGGCTCACCATCTGTGTCAAAATCTCATATGGTCATAACTTAGAACATCATTAATAGTAAAATTTCGTAGATGTCT